GTAAAATTTTCAAAAACCATCAAAATAGATAATATGCCATTCCCTTGGGATAATCTGTGTTAACTTAGGTATCATAAACCCAAAATTATGACTTACTGATGCAGATACTCCTAAATATAAAAATAAGCTAGTAGTATGTTGATCTTTCAATTTTATATCATTTTTACAATATATGTGTGTGCACATACACACACACACACAAAACTTATGTTCCTTGTGTTCCCTCCTAAGGCTTAAACCACTATAAGCATTAATTTTTTTATTAGAGCATTATAATTATACATAGTATTTGGGTTCATTCTGACAAAATATTACATACAGGGAATTTGATTTCAATCCCCATTCTTTTCCCCTTTCCCACCCTCCCCCATTCTTTCTCCTCTCCTCTATTGATCTTCCTTTCACTCATTTATTTTTCATTGGTATTTTCTTTTTTTTTAGAGAGAGAGAGAGAGAGAGAATTTTTTAATGTTTATTTTTTTTAGTTTTCGGTGGACACAACATCTTTGTTTGTATGCGGTGCTGAGGATCGAACCCAGGCCGCATGCGTGCCAGGCGAGCGCGCTACCGCTTGAGCCACATCCCCAGCCCTTTCATTGGTATTTTCTACATATACATAAAAGTGAAATTACTTTCAGTACATTTATATGTATGTAACATGATATAACTGAATCCTTTCCATATTTCTTCCTCTTTCCCTTCCTTCCTCTCTCTCATTCTTCTTCAACTTCACAGATCTTCCCTATATCTTTATGATATCTGATTCCCTCCCTAACCACCTTCTTTCCCTTATTTTGCTCTAGCTTCCACATGAGAGAAAACATTAGGCTCTTGATTTTTTTAAGTATGCCTTACTTCACTTAGCATGATAGTTTCCAATTCTATCCATTTACCATCAAATGCCATTATTTCATTCTTCTTTATGGCTGAGTAAAACTTCATAGTGTATACATACCACATTTTCTTGATCTATTCATCTATTGATGGGAATCTGGGTTGATTCCATAATTTTTTCTATTGTGAATTGTGTTGCTATGAACACTGAAGTAGCTATATCACTATGTCATGCTGATTTTAGTTCTTCTGGATAAATATGGAGTGTGTCATATGATGAGTCATTCCTAGTTTTTTAAGGAGTCTCCAAACTGCTTTCTACAGTGGTTGTACTAATGTGCAGGCCCACTTAGTATCAAGATTATGATCATAGTGTCATGTCAAACTAAAAATGTCACCACTATTTTGGCTGTTGAGAATATTTAACTGGGAATGTGATTTTCTTTAGCTATAAAGGTGATGTAGTACCAGTTTTTATTGATTCATTAATAAATATGTGGAAGTTCTGAAAAAATTATATACCACATAAAAATGCCAATTACTACCATTTATTAATGGTATTAATGGTATTAATGGTATTAATATTGGTATTCCAATATTGACAGTTGTTGTTTTTCTGCCAGTGCTACCAAACTAACGTTTAAAATAATGTGCTACAAATCAGAATTCAAACACTTCAAATTGTTATGGAACTACAACTATCTTCAACCTTGTGCCTCTGAAAATTGATACATATATATATACATACATACACACACACACACACACACACACATATATATATACCTCCAAAGTGAACATGTTTATTATTCCACCAAGTACATTAATAAAAGACTATAGTATTTGGGTAAATTCATGTTCTTATACATGTAGTAGTTATGGGTTCACTTGCCAACGTGGGTAATAATATATTCCTGAATCAAGAATTGATTTCAATTCTTTTCTTGGTAGTACTGAACACAGAGCCATGAATGTGCTAGTTATATACTCCCCAGATCTTTTGTTTTATTTTGAGACAGGATCTCACTAAGTTGCCCAGGTTGTCCTTGAACTTGTAATCTTTATGCCTTCTGAATTTCTGGAATTATTGGCTATATCACCATGCCCCAGTTTGATTTAATTAATTCTTATTATTATTATTGCAATAGTGGATATTGAACCCAGGTGGGCTTTATTGCTGAGCTACATCCCCAGCCTTTTTATTTTTTATTGTCACTAAGGCTGACCTTGAATTTATGATCTTCCTGACGCATCTTCCTGAGTAGCTGGGATTATAGGTATGTGTCATTCTGTCTGGTTAAAAAATAAAATTTAAGGAAAAAAATCTTTTATTAAAAAAAAAAAAAACCCAAATTCCAAGATACCTCTTTTCTGCTGATCTGGTGGGTCCTTTTCTCACCTTTGCCACTTTGCAGATACAAACAATAGACAGAAAACAGTTAAGATGGAACTGTATGCTAGGCACTGTGGCACACAACCGTAATCCCAGTACCTAGGAGGCTGAGTCAGGAGGATCACAGTTCAAGGCCAGCTTTAGCAACTTAGTGAAACCCTGTTTCAAAATAAATAAAAAGGGCTGGGGACATCACTCAGTGGGAAAGCATCCCCAAGTTCAATCCCAGTACCCAGCCACTCCCAGTAAGATGGATTTGTAGTGTGCATGGCACAGTACTCAATTCATAGCAAGAAACCCCTAAGTTGGGCTGGCGTTGTGGCTCGGAGGTAGTGCGCTTGCCTAGCATGTGTGGGGCACTGGGTTCGATCCTCAGCACCACATAAAATAAAAAATAAAGATATTCCTATTTAGATTTCAGGGCTATCTTGGGACCTTCAGATAAATGTGACTCCCCTCCCCAACAGCTTCAATTATTGATATTCAAAAGGTTCATGATTTTTAAGTTAAATGTGATATTTTCAGCAGAAAGAATGTTTTTTTTCCTTTTTAACTTATGACAAATTCTATTGAATATTTTAAGTCTAGAAAAAAGATGTGGTAGTATAAAAACAAGGGGAAATTGTAGCGAAAGAATTAAAACCACTTGCAAAATAAACATATTCTCATGTGATATTTGAAAAAAAATAAAGATATTGTGTCCACCTGTAACTAAAAAATAAATATTTTTTAAAAAAAGAAGAAAAAAAGAAACCCCTAAATTGATTTGCTCCATTTCTTCATGATCTGAAAGTATAATTTTGGCCTACACTTATAGACTAATGTTAGTTTAAACCCTGTTGATAGTAAAGAGACAACTGTGGGTAAAAAAAAAAAATGCACCATTTTACTCATCCTGTAAAAATCACTAGCAGATGACTGGAGGTATAGCTTAGTGGTAGAGCATGTGCAAAGTCCTAAGTTTAATCCCCAGTATACACAGAAAAAAATCAGTAGCAGGGTAAGATTTACATTCAGTTAGTACAATATTACATTTCTAGCACTACCATCCTGAAGCTTAGAAGATATAGGCATATAAACTATATCTGATGTTTCACATTAATTTACAAAAATCCAGAAACTCCTTCTGAAATGAGAAAAGTAACACAGTTTCTATCAGGCAGCTCCAGGGTCAATTTCATCAAAGTGCTGTAGGGCACTATCATGTGTGTCCAAGGTCATTACTAGTTACTGTTTATCTACCTAATATGTAACTTTAGGGCATTTACATTGGATAAAATCAGCAAAATATTTATTACAATGCTTAAGAGATGCTAAGTATTTAATAAATATCTATTATTGTCACTCCTAACTTATTTTTTAGAGGTTAAGAACAGAATCTGGGGCAAGATAAATAAATTTCTTGATTTTCAAACAAAACCATTAATAGCCAGTTTTAGCAATGATAACTAATTCTCTGTATACTGGTGCAGGCATCATAGCCCTAAGCTAACTTAAATCCATTAAGAACACTCCTCTTTATGTTAAGTCACAATGCCTAATATAAAACAAAGTCTTTTCTTTCTTAGGGTTCGAGTGATTATTTACTCACTTAACAAACCATTACTGAAAACTTCCTACTACTAAGGCACTGTATATGTTGGAGGTATAGTTGTGATTCCTAACTTTATAATGTTTGTTTAGGGGCTGAGGTAGCTCAGTGGTACAGCATTTGCCTAGCATGCCCAAGGCCTTGGGTTCCATGCTCAGCATCACAAAAACAAAATAAGTTTAAATGGGAGAGACAATCAACAGGTACCTAGGAAAGAAATTGCTAAATCAACAATGACAATAATCATATTAAAGGAGGCTAAGGCATTTAACTGTCAGGAGGACACAGAGCTTTGGCTATTTTAATAATCATGATCAGAAAGGTTGGGAAGAGGTGACAACAATTTAGCTAGATAAAAAAAAAAAAAAAAAAAAAAAGAACCAATGAGGGTGAAGACAAGATACTAGAGGCTAGTTGTGGTAAGAACGTCCTTGAAAGCAAAGCCCAGGTTTGTATTTTTTTATCTACGCAGCATCAAAAGACCACAGGGTCCGGATTCAAGTATATCTGAATTCAAGGCCTGCTACTTCTGGGCCGTGGGAAAATGACCTGTTTTTTCACTAGCTTCGTGGTGTGTAAAACAGGCTCGAAAACGGTTACAGGGGCTGTTGGGAGGATCCAATGAGGCAATGCGCATTCCCAGAAATATGAATTATAGCATCTGCAAAATGAAATGTAAAGCCCAGTTCCCTCCACGCCCTCCCAATGGGCGTTTTCGGGCTGAGGCTCCCTCACGAGATGCTCAAAGACTTCACCACCGCCCCCGCCCCCAAACTTCCAGGGAAGGGCTTCTCTAGAGAAAGCTCCCACACTCCCACCCCGCCTCATCATTCCAAAATCAGCCCAAGGCTTCTCCCCACAGCACGCTCGCAGGCGGCACTTGTCAACCCAAACGCCATTTCCACCTTCTCTGCCCACACGCAGCCCTCTTTTCCAGGGCTCTCCCAAGAAGGGACCCACCCCAAACCCCGCCATTCTGTCCTCCCTGCCGCCCTCAAATGACGTAAAGCCAAACCAGGGAACCTGTGACCGCCTCCGCCCCCCGGGGTTCCCCCCTACACCAAGGCCCCCAACGCGCAGTGCGGCCCGGCGCCACGAGGCCGGGCCGCCGCGACTCCGCAGCTGGTCGCGCTGGCCAGAGCCGGGCTGGGCCGGGCTGGGCTCGCGAGCCAAATTGCTCACCACGACGCTAGGGCTGCGAGTCGCCATCACGGAACCGGCTGACGTGCGGCTGACGGCAGTCTGAGAAGGAGGAAGCCCACGGAGAGGCAGAGGAGGCGGCGGAGGCGCTGCAGGAGGTGGCGCAGCGCAGGAAAGCCAAGAGGTTTGTCTTAAGCTCTTCGCCGCCGCCGCCTAGGCAACCGCTCAGAACGAGGAAGAGGCAGGCCCCGCCCCCTCCTGCGCTCGCCAGAGCGCCTCCTCCGGTGGCTACCGGTTTCCACGCTCACGAGGTGGCCGTGGGAATTTTCTTCCGGAAGAACCGGCGATTGCTGCTGTGCAGCTTCTGTCTCTCTTTCCCTCAGCCTCCCATTCAGAGGATCCCCAAATTCTCAAACCTACCTCTGCCCGCATTGTTCCTAGTTGTCCTAAACTGAACACCGGCTTTCAGGTTTCCAGCAGCACGTGGCCCCCTGAGTCAGGCGTCCCCTTGCCAAGACCTTGTAATACATTCTGGCTTCCATTTTCCTGATTCTTGGCCCAATGCTTTCAAAAACCCTTACCTGATTTTAAGAATTGAGACCTAAAGCCCCAGAGGCAGTCAGATCAGGGTACAAATCTGAAACACCTGACTGCTTTGTAACCAACTGCAAAATCAGACTCTGAGCCTCTTTTTGCCTCAGTAAATAGAATGGGCAAATAACAATACACCAACAATATTTTTATGAGGATTAAAGATGAGTGTAGTGTATGCGTTTTAGTACTTAGGAAAGTACACAATGGGAACTGTTGCTATTAATGGTTTTTATTTTTGCCTCCACAATTTACTATGTGGGATTAAAAAAAAATCTGTCCCTCAAGACTCTCAAACAGATAAAATAAGCAATCAACACTGGCTTCTAGTGACACCATTTCTAATGTCCTCACCTGTAAAACTGTAGCACCCACTGAAGGTGTTTCTTCCTTCTTTTGAATGACCTCCTGCACCTTTTGAAAATTAATGGCCTTGCCGGGGGCCTTCTTCAGGCCCGCCAAGAGGCAGGATGTAAAAAGGTCACAAGACTGTAAGCCTCCAGGGGTGTTGTAATCCCATAGGGGATCCTGCTCTGGGACAGCATGAGGGCCTGTGGGGTGACTGGGATTGGTCCTATGATTTTCATCAGCATGGGCTTGGGCTAGCTCCCAGACCCGTCGCCTTTCCTCAGGGAGAAGTGTATTGGCCAAGAGCATGTAGATGTCATGATGAGTGAGGCTATATGCTTGCAGGACCCATTGAAACTCCCGAATGTAAGTGGTGGGGTCGGTGGTGAATGAGCCTAACTTCCTCTCTAGCTGAGTAATGTCCGACATGGAGAAGGGCACATGTACTCTAATAACACCCTCAGGACCAGCTACCTCACGAAGGGGTGCGATTGCCTTGGGGGTGGGAAGGAGTCCCTTAGACCTGGTAACAAGAGGACTGAAAGAGGCAAGCGGCGAACAGGAAGAGGGAAGGGAAGGGGATGTCTCTGCGGAGGAGGAGGTGGAGCGGGCAGAAGAGGGCAGAGGGGAGGGGGGTGAAACGGAAGGCTGAGGATCCGTGGAATCAGGCAGAGGAAGAGGAGGGTATAGCAGGAGAGAAGGGGCAGATGTCTGGGCTGGGGGATAAGGTGGGGGTTCATCTGCCGCGTTGAATGAGGAAGAATCTGCGAAGTCAGGAGTAGAAGTAGGGGAAGAGAGGGGTTTGCAAGCAGGGAGGACTTGAGAGGGAGAACAGGAGGAGCAGAGAGCAGGGTGCTGTGCGAGAAGGCTAAAACCTTCAACGCAGGGAATTTCCCTCCACTTTTTAAGGCGCCAGCAATAGTTAAAAAGGTCCCGGAGGAGGTTTGGATCTAAGGAGCCTTCTGGAGGCCAATGATTGCCATTATCCAGTGGATATGTAGGCCAATCTTGGGTACAGAATTTGATTAGAAGTTTGGGCTTGATGTCTGGTGTGAGGGAGAGTGTGGCCAGATTTTTTATTAGACATTTGAGAGGTGAGGCTTCAGGTATAGAAGAAGAGGTGCCCATAGTCACAGGGAGAGATGGAAGAGAGAGAGAGAAAGAGAGAGAGAGAGAGAGAATAAGAGTAAGCGAGAGAGACAAAGGGGAAACCCGAGCCGGAACGGTTTCCTGGAAGCTCAGGGCGAACGGGGTTCAAGTGGGCATCCCCAAAATGACCAGCCTTCGCAAGGAAATACAGAGGGCACTACCCAGTAGTCACCAGTGAAGTGCGATCTGTGAGACCCAATAGTGTCGGAGCCACGGGCGACCTGACATCAGGAAAGTTTTTGACTGCAGCGAAAAAAAGTTAGCAATGAAAACAGAGCTCCAGCTCCCGCAGAATGCAGCTCCAGGCTGGGAGTTCAACTCCGGAGCAGAAAAGCAGCTTCAGCAGGACACAGCAGCTCTAGCTGGCAGCGGAGTAGGAAAAAAAACAGAGAGCCTCTCGTGTAAATTCAGAAGCCTCACGCCCCAAAGGGAAACGGATCGCCAGAGGGTCCACTGCGACCGGTAAAGGTCTTAGTGGGGTGGGTTCCCTCCTCCCTACCGGGCGTCTGGAGTGTGATCACGGTCACAGTACGTGTAAGCCCGAAGGGAGTTGGCGAGCCAAGCCGGGAAAGGGGAAACTTACCTAGGTCAGATCAGTGGTGAGTGCAGGGAGCCGGCGTCTGAAAAGAGCGGACCAGGGCTGAGTGTCTCGGCGGGGCGGGGCTCTTGTTAGAAAGAGCTCACCCGTATCCGATCCAAGGCACCAGAATGAAAGAATTCCCCACTGCAAAGACACTTCACCGGGAGAATTCCAATTTTATTGCAAAAGGCTGTGTGCTTACATAGAACTAAGGGGAGATGGTAGGGCTTAGATAAATGGCAGGCCACCCGTTTATTGGCAAGTTCTTCCAGATATCAGCTCCGGAGCCCAGGAATTAGTTCTTATTGGGGCTAAGGTTCCCCGCCAGCGAGATTTGAAATTGGCGCCGGGAGAGTTCACACGGGCGGGAACTTTTCGTGCCACTGCAGAAAAGGGGAAGGTAGGAAGAAGAGGTCCTTAGGCGCCATGTTGGGGTTTTTCTCTGGAGTACGGCTGCCATTTATACTTTTCCCAACACCCACCACAGTGCGATGGTAGTTATTGTGAAACTGGGCAAGTCATTGCACTTCTCTGAGCCTCGATCCTTTCCATCTGAAAGATAACAATAAAACTAGGCGAGGTGGTACATGCTTATAATCCCAGCTAATTGGGAGGCAAAGGGAGGATCACAAGATTTTAAGGCCAGCCTCAGCGAAATAAAGGACTCAAGTGTAGCTCACTGACAGAGTGCACCTGGGTTCAATCCCCAGTATACCCCCCCAAAAAATGTCTAATAGAGTACTTGGTTCAATACATTATAATACCAATGTCGTGTGTTTCATAATTTTGCCTTAACAGTTTTTCATGATATTTATCCCCCTATTATGTATAAGATTTCTTATTCATTCTTCTGTTGATAAACATTTAACCAGTTGCTAGGTTTGAACTATTACAAATAGTTCTGCTATGAACATTTTTATGTGTCTTTTGATGAATATATGAATGCTTTTCTATTTGGCATAGACTTTGAAGTTTGTATTAGCACATTTTCATTATTTAGCTCCTTAACATTTTTCTCTACCTAGAAGTTAATTCTGAGAACTTCCAGTTATATTTGGCTCCAGATACATGTGGATTCAACTACCCACGTTTGTTTCTAAATCAGAAACACAACTATTCGGAATCCTTCCAGCTTGCTTTTGGCTTGCCATTCCTTTCTCCAAATCCAGATATTACTGTGTTTTAACAGTAGATTTGAAATAGTGAGAGCCAGGTGATTGCATAGACAAAGAAACAGTATAACCAGTCATTCTATGTGGTAACTTGGAATTTTTATTTGTATTTATGATGGAAAACAGCCAACAGAGTGCAATCTATGAAGATGTAATACTGTGTTTTTAGTAAGTGAAAATCTGGTTCATACGCTAAATACTGAAATTTGGACATATTTAAAATTGAAAGTTATTCTTTTAAAATTTTAATTGCTTTAAAACTAAAGATGAAATCAATAAAATAATATTACTAACTCTACATGATTTTATTGAAAATCTTTTTGTCATATAGAGTAGGGTCAGGTTGATGGGCACAGTGGCACATGCCTGCAATACTCGCAAATCAGAAGGCTGAGGCAGGAGGATCAGAAGTTTGAGACCAGCCTCAGCAGCTTAGTGAGGTCCTAAGCATTTTATTGAGATGCTGTCTCGAAATAAAAAGGACTAGGGATGACTCTTAGTAATTAAGTGCCCCTGGGTTCAATCTCTTGTACCAATAAATAAATAAATAAAAATAGAGTCAGGGATATAAAAAATCTACTCTGGTCTGGCACCATGGCACACACCAGTAATCCCAGTGGCTTGGGAGGCTTAGACAGGAGGATTGCAAATTCAAGGCCAGTCTCAGCAAATTAGTGAGGCCCTAAGCAACTTAGTGAGACCCTGTGTCAAAATAAAAAAACAAAAACCGCTAGCAATTTAGCGCAGTGGTATATTGCCCCTGGGTTAGACCTCACTACCTTCCCCGACACAAAAAATCTACTCTGACTGAGGATGTAACTCCGTGATAAGAGTACTTGCCTGGCATGTGTGAGGCCCGAGTTTACCACAGCACTGCAAAAAGAAGAAAAGATCTTCCTTCCTCAATCTGCTTTTCCAGAAACAATTTTGTAATATACTTGTTTGAACATAATATCAATTATTTCTGCTCCACAGGTTTCTTGATTAAGACCATGATTTTATCATGGTGCTGTGCTCCTCCAAAATTTGTATTTCTATTAAAAAAGTTATTAACATAAAATACTTATTGTATGTTGAATTCTTAAACTGAATTGACAGTAGCTTTCTCAATAATGTCAGAGGTTTCACCTTCATCAGAATCGATCTCCATAGCTTTGAAAAATTGAACTATTATTGGAATTAACTGTGATGATTGTGTGTGTCAACTTGGCTGACCACTAGTGCCTAGATATTTGGTGAAACATTATTCTGGATATTTCTGTGAAGATATTTTTTTGGATGAGGTTAACATTTAAATCAGTGGACTCTGAGTAAAGCAGATTACCCTCCATAATTTGTGTGGGCCTCATCAGTGCATGGCCTTAACAAAACAAGGACTGACCTCCCCTGAGTGAGAAGGAATTCTGCCAGCAA